TCCGAGTCCACTAGATCCCTTCAGAGGTGCACCCAGTTCTGTGAGTTCATCAACTTTTCCAGAAACTGTAGCTGGATGATTGAAGCTTTCAACGGTGCTTTAAACTAAGCCAAGTCCAGTTTGATGAGCTGTTGTCCGGTATTGGCACGAGGATTTCCCCTTGGGGCACCAACAACAGGCAGTACCTCATAATCACGCCCCCGACACGAGAAAGCTCCTGATTGGTTAAAGTGGCTAGAATGTCCTCTTAAATTCAGATTTTTCAATTTGCACCACCTCATTTAAGCAAATAGCGCCACAGAACACCTATTTGCATCTTCGCATTGACTTAACATGGAATTCACTTGCGCTTGATGCTTTATCCCATCTGGTGTGAGCACAATTTACGTACTTGATTAGCTTGCTCAGGTTTGTTAGATTAGGGATGGCGCTAAACTCTGCAGGCCACCACCACTGTCCCAGGAACAGGTTTTGGTGACCCCTGTTGTACAATAAAACGTGAAAGTATCTTGAGTTTGTGTTAACCACAAACCTTAAGCACTTTAACTAAAATCCCACTTAAATAATCCATCGACTTTGGAATGATGAAACTGGCATTGGTGAAATGCTAACTTGCTTCCAGGTTTTTGCAACGAAATTGATATCCTAGTTCCTCCACTCTATTCCATGACATACAAAACCAAGTTCATGCATGATTCCACACATGGTAGATGGCTTCTGTGAGAGAGGAACAGGTCTGCAAGCTCTGAAAGCTCTTTTAAAAAAAACTGTGCATCACATCACTGGAGCTTCAATCTGCTACCTCAGTTGTCTCTGATAAAATTGTATAAAATGCAGGGAAAACTGTTGATCTGGCCAGTTATTGGGCCCACCATTTTCAGCAACTTAGGGTGCTTTCACACCTGTGAATCGATTCAGTTGTTCCGAAAAAGAGATTACAATTGTTACATTGTAGCTCTTTGCTCTTGGAGCGGTTCGCTTTCACACTGCAAAGTTTCTAATCGGACCAAAAGAGCTAAAACAAGTCACGTGCGAGTAAACTCTCCTCACATTGGTCAGAGTGTCAGGGTTTATTTTGCAGCGTCCCGCTAAGCTGTCTGGAGAGGTGGTGGTTTGTTCGTGATTGACGGTGCGCGCGCGACGTGTCTGAGGAGAGATGCGGTGGGGAGGGGTGAGAAGGGTGCGCGACGATGCCTATTTGAGGACCGGGAGGGAGACGCGAGATTACCGGGAGATCATCACTCGTTTGCGGGCATCCGGAGACTCGCAAAACTTCCAGCCCTACTCATAATTCTCTCTTCATATAGCCGTAAGCCTATTACATATCCATAATACACTGTGATATAACCGCGCTCGGATCGGATTGCTTTCTCACTGTAATCGAACCGCTCCAGGGTTCGTTTCAATCGGGCTGAGACCACCTCATTCAAGCGATCTCGGAGCGATTACTTTGGCGCGGAACAGAACGCGGTTGCCCTGTTCACATATGCCAAACGAACCGCGCTAACTGGGCAATCGAGACACGTTCCAAAACAAAAGTGTAGGTGTGAAAACACCCTTAGTACCTACAATATTTTGTTGTTCATTTTCTTTTTCACATGTACTTTCGCGCTTTAAATCTGTGTTAACTTGGTTCTTTTTAGAGCCGATGGTGATGAAAGAAGAGACTCAAGAACTGAAGGAAATGGAAGAGAAAGATCAGTTTGAGGAAAACCAAGACTTAATGACTGCTGAAATGTCTACCATGACAAAAAAGACTTCACCTCGTGAAAGAGATCAGGAAATCAAATCTAATGGTAACTTCACCTGCAGTCAGTGTGGAAAAAGTTTTACTCAAAAATACAAGCTTAGAGTTCACATTCGAGTTCACACTGGAGAGAAGCCTTACTCGTGTGAACAGTGTGGAAAGAGATTCATTGAAAACACGAGACTTGTATCCCACATGAATACTCATACCAGAGAGAAGCCTTACTCATGTCCCGAGTGCGGAAAAGGTTTCAAACAAAAGCAAAATCTTGCAATTCACATGAGAATTCACACTGGAGAGAAGCCTTTCTCATGTGATCAGTGTGACATGAGTTTCAATCAAACACAAAACCTTAAAGCACACATGAAAGTTCACAACAGGGACAGGCCTTATGCCTGCCAACAGTGCGGAAAGAGATTCAGGCAAATTCAAATCCTTCAACTTCACATCCAACTTCACACCGGAGAGAAGCCTTGTGCCTGCCCTCAGTGTGGAATGAGCTTCGTTCATAAACAAAGACTTAATAGGCACATGAAGGTTCACAATAAAGACATAGAGGCAATAAAGCCTTTCCTTTGCCAGCAGTGTGGAAAAAGTTTTGCTCAGAACGGTACCCTTAAAATCCACATGAGAGTTCACACTGGAGAGAAACCTTACACTTGCTCTCAATGCGGGAAGAGTTTTACACAGAAAAGCAAGCTGGATTACCACATGAGACTTCACACTGGAGAGAAACCTTTCCTCTGCCAACAGTGTGGAAAGAATTTCAGTCAAAAGAAATGCCTTGAAGTCCACATGAGAGTTCACACTGGAGAGAAACCTTACACCTGCTCTCAATGTGGGAAGAGTTTTACCCAGAAAGGCAACCTTGATTACCACATGAGGACTCACACTGGAGAGAGACCTTACACTTGCACTGAATGCGGAAGGAGTTTTTCACAGAAAGGCAACCTTGATTCCCACATGAGGATTCACGCTGGAGAGTAGACGTTTATAGTTGGTCAGTAGAGTTCGGTTTTTAGAACTGGTTCCATTTCCGAACTGCATGGCAAATGGCAGTTGGCATTTTACAGCTGTATCTATCTGCCAAGACCTTTGACCGGTTAAGATTTGCCCCCAAAATATGACACTCAAGTGATGATTACCCTCAGGGCCATGCAGAGTATTGGACTTTCCCCAAGTTCTCCCCATGCTCATTAAGTTAGGCGGAGGCAGTCAATAATTTCAATCTTTTATTATCAAGTGAATAAAGCTTTTTCAGAATTCAGGCAGTCAGAAGCGCCGTACATACAAAATCACACCGTTTTATAGTCGTCATTCGTAGTGAGGTAGACAAGCTACACGTCAGGTTGTGTGCCTGCACAGAAACATCTGAAAAATAGGGGGGAGTGCAGGTGCTCAAGGAACAAGTTTTAAACACACCCCGCCTCTTCACGTACCTGGTTATCTTTCACCTATGTTAGACCAATTCTAAGGGCCCACACATTTAGGGGTCCCTCAGAGATATTATTAGGGGCCCACGCCCGCCCCACAAAACCCTCCCCCCCTTTTCACTTTCATCCACGTCAGGGGTCACCGTAATGGAATAAACCCCTAGTTTCTGGCCATAAATTTCAAACAGTGGATGCCCTTTTAGCTACCACCCCGCACTGAGGCTTGTACTTTAGGAGCTGGGTAACACACACACACACTCTCCCATTTACACCCTATGTCCAATTTTACTTTATCCAAACAATTTGCTTGTCTTTGGGGGAAACTGGAGCACCAGATGGAAATACACGTAGGCACAGTGAGAACATGCAAACTCAATGCAGAAAGACCTCCTCCAGCCAGGACTCGGACCAGCTAACTTTTCTTGTGAGGTGCCAATGATTACCAATTGCTGGCCATGACGTATTGTTCACATTGCTAAAAGGTTTAACAATATAATTAATGTTAATCATTACTCATGTGCTGGTGTTGTGATCGCCGGCGATCTGCAGTTGCAGATTGCTGGAGAACTACACACACGGCACAGTAACGAACTACAACTTCCAGCATGCACCTTGCACACACCGGTTCCTGTTTCCCACTGATTACACTCACACAGCTAGTAACTCATCACTGACTGATTAGCTGGACTTTAAATTCACCCCTCTCACACACATTGCTGAGTCTTGTTTTCCTAGTTAAGCAATTAAATCTGTATTTCCCCGTTTGTCCTCCCTTGTCTTTTGATCTTTGCCAGATTTACCATTTGTTGATTCTTTGCCGCCTGTTCCGACCATCTGCCTCTTTGGATTACCCTCATGCTCCTGTTTGCTTCTGTTCTGACTTTTGCCTATTTGACTAAGCTCAAAATAAACAGCACATGCATCCTTCATCTCCATTGTCCAGTGTGTCCATTACAGCTGATTGATGGTCGAACTCACACTTTCCAGTTAGTTATAGAGATCTAATAGATCATGTTCTAGCAACAGTTTATATTCTAAAATGTAATTGTGTGTGTGTGTGTGTGTGTGTGTGTATATATAGATAGAAAGATTATATATATATATATATATATATATATATATATATATATATATATATATGTGCGTGTGTGTGTGTATATATATATATATATATATATATATATATATATATATATATATATATATGTATGTATGTATGTATGTATATATATTTGTATGTATGTGTATATATATATATATATATATATATATATATATATATATATGTGTGTGTGTGTATATATGCATATTTATATATATATATGTGTGTGTGTGTGTGTGTGTGTGTGTATATACATACACACACATATATATATACATATGCATATATATATATATACACACACACACACACACACATACATAAGAAATTTGTCAGATCTTATTTTAGAGGATGTTTTGTTAGTGAACCAAAAACTTTAAAGTAAAATTAAGCTTAATAATTAACTTGGAAATGTAAAAATTTTTTAATGCGCCAAAATATTTGACCATTTTTAATATTGTTTTTCATTTGGATTGTATACATTTATGGTCACTTCTCTTAATATAGCGCACTTTAACTTTACATGTTTATTTTTTACATAAAGCCTGGAAACTAGAAATTTATGTCCTTGGGAATCTGGTTTATTCCCTAATAATAATCTGCTGTTTCACTAACTAGTGTTTGTGAATTGTGTTATAGCATGCCAGGCTTTTATTTTGGCGTAGTTCTGTGACGTCATATGACTGCGCTCCCGAGTCTGCAGTGCAACGAAAGGTTTGTGCTTTAAAGGTTTAAATATCGGAACAAACAGTCGACGTTGTAGATTTTTTACATAAACGACGCCAAATTTACCATTCGTCAGGAAATCTTGAATGTAATTCGCTATCTGACATAATCTTTAAAGACTTTAATCATAACTCATTTGTGCAAGCGAGAGTAACGTAACGTTAGCAGAACAGGCGCGTCTCATTTCTGTATCGTGACTCTGTTTAGTAAACATGAACTCAGTCACTGGCGAGTGGAGATGAGGGAAAGGGAGATTTACAAAACTGCGAGTCAATTAAATCGTTTAAAATGATTAAATTTGTCAAATCTGCTGATTAAAATAGTGTTAAACAAAAACAACAGAAATGTTGAGAGACTTTTACTGACCAACTGCGGGTGTTTTCCTGGAGAACTAACACAGAACATTATAGATTACATAGTGAAAGTCTATAACTAATTGTACGAGTATGTATATATTGTAATATTATAATAAAACTTGAGAGCTACTCAATTTACTCTAGTTTTATCCGAGTCCCTCAGCAGTGCACTGAGCTAGTGAGCTGATTGAGTGTGTATTTCTTTTATTTTCCGTTCATTATTCTCATTTTAAACAGGACAAAGTGTCCAAACACAGAGGAAAACTCCTGCTGAAGCGACTGATCTCCACACTGTTATAAAGATGGTGTTTATTAAAGAGGAGAGTGAAGACCTGAAGATTGAAGACACATTCACAGTCAAACAGGAAGATCCCGAACAAACAGGTAAGGTCAACCTTTGATTGAATGTCTGCTTTTACAGCAGGTCACTCGGTAATTCCTGAATGCCTTTAGGTCTCCAGTGAGTTTGTTTATTTTATATGAGAAGGGAAATCTCAAGTTGCTCTAAATCGCTCTGGCTAATACATTTTATACGCTTAATATTGTGTAAGAAACAGTTCATTAACTCGAGTTTAATTGGCATCTAAAATGTGGGTTCGGAAAAGAAAACGTTAGCTAACTAGTGCCACTTCCCTTAGCTGAAAATGAGCTCTGACATCCCTTTTTGTTTTCACCATTCATTCAGAACGGACCTTCGGGTCACTCGGAAGGCGATTAAATAATAAATTTGTGTCCCATTTTCTTCGCTGATAAGGTATACAACCACGTACACAACTTTCATATGTAACTCCAAGCGATACTTCCGGGTTTCTTCCCACAGCAGCCTCGATTTCACTTTTAAAAATTGCGGACGCGTGAAATCAGTATTGTTTTGCTACTTGAAAATGTCTATCAAATGTTTGACCTCGAGAAGCATTGATCTTAGTACGTTTTGTAAAGCAAACGCTGACTATAGCCCCTTTCACACAGTGATACCGGTAAATATCCGGAAAATTTCCGGAACGACTTTACCGGTATATTCAAAAAAGCGCTGTTCACACAGGCGAGGACGTTACGGAAATTTTCCGGAAAAGAGCATTCACACATCCATTCCAAAATACCGGTAAATTCTGACATCATTCACCACAAATGAGCTTTAAACGGCTGTGCTTGTATTTGTAAACATTTGACTAAATTACAAACTCTGTGGATGATCAATATTGCGAACAACTTTCGCAGGATCATATTCGCATGTCGAGATGTTCATAATATGTGCGTGTGCAGGCGCTCACAGACTGTTTCACAGGCACACGCAAAGCTTGAAGGTAAACAAACAACGGTTTATCATAAGCATCTTATCGATTATTATTTACACAGCTGGCATTAAGAAGAACATATAAACGTAACCCGACTAACTTCTAGCAGCTAAATGTGTCTGGAAAAATATTCAAAGGCTTTTATTCTCACTAACCGCATTGACGTAAATGTGTCTGACTGTTGTGATTGGCTAAAGCAGGTGTCTCACGTCAGCACGTTCTAGACGTGCACGCGCTAATCACGGAAATCTTCCTTCTGCATTCACACAGCGCAGCATTCCGGCAAATTGCCGGTAATGTTACAACTTCTCTTTCCGGAAAATAGCCAGAACGAATTTACCGGTATTTTCAAAAAGGACCTGTTCACACATACAACCTTTCCGGAAAATTGCCGGCAATTTTCCGGAAAGGTCTGTATGTGTGAAAGGGGCTTATGTTTATATGGACATCAGTAATCAGATTATTTACGTAAATCTGAATAAGACAATAATATGATGATCGTGTTTACATGAGTTGCTATTTGAATGTTCCTTTCATGATCACGTTTAACGTGTTATAGTACATATACTGATTAACGTTGTTGTGTCACCGCGCTATCCACATTTCCTCTGGAGTTTCATGTTATTTCGGGTGTTTCATTTTTAATTTGTCGACTTTAACTGCAGTTCGGCACTTTCACTTTAATTCAGGAACATTTCATGCATGTGACAACTGCTGGAAGAGTATTGTTTTAATGGAATTTATACCGCACGGCACAGGGCCGGAGTGGGACTCCTTTTCAGCCCTGGAGTTTCAAGCTTTAGACCGGCCCACCTCAGTTCACGAATGACTATATTAAAATAATATAAAGAGGATTTCCCCTCGGGACACCAACAACAGACTCTTCATCATCATCATCATCAAGCCCGTTCAAAAGAAAGCTCATAATTGGGAAACGTGGCGCGATGAAGTAGATTTTTCAACTTGAGCGATTCACGTGATACGAGCGTCAAACGTGTAAAATTCTCAACTCGCGCCGTTTCATTTGTGCGAATGGCGCTGCAGGATGTCTATTCGCATCTTTGCGTTGACTCAACATGTAAATCACTCGCGCTTGATGCTTCATCTGGTGTGAACGCAGCCTAACATACATGCAGTTTTAGCTAAATTGTTTGTGCGCCCTTCAAAAAAATCTATTGTCCCCTCAACAGTTAGATGTAATGGGTTAATAAATAAAAAGTAAAGTTCTACATTTTTATATTTTTTTATAGTCCTGATTTATTATTTGTGTTATTCTGTGTCCAGTTATTAACCAGTAATTAACCAGTTATCCTGTTTTCGGTGATAATGGGTTCGACAACTATACAATCTTGTATCTTAAATAACGAGTTTAAAATATGAAAACATGCTGAGATTACATGAAATTCATATTTAGCATCTTAATGCTTATAACACAGGTGTCAAACTCAGTTCCTGGAGGGCCGCAGCTCTGCACAGTTTAGTTCCAACCCTAATGTGGCGAGGGGGCGTGGCCGAGAGCCGTGGGAACGGAGTGAGATCACCGCGTAAGTGGATACACCTGCGGTGCGCACCTGCCTCGAATCCCACGGAAGGAGCTCTGGACCATAAAAGGAGGACTGAAGGCAGAGGAAGCCGAGAGAGGACCGGGCTCGGGCATATTGTTTTACGTTTGCTTTCAGTTTGACGGCAGTCTCCGTGAGGAGCTGCCGTCCCTGTTATTAATAAATCATTTTAAAACTGCGTCGGTTCTTCGCCTCCTCCTTCCCGGGGGCCAAAGGGCCGTGAACTTCATTACAGTGGTGCCGAAGCCCGGGAGAGGGGGCGAGTGTTTGGGAGTTAACCCGAGTGGGGGAGAAACCCGTTCGTCTGCCCAGAGTGCCAGGGTGGCCTGAGGCTTGCGAGGAAAGGATCTGCCTGCTGCTGTCTCCCAGCATGGGGAGGAGCAGGGGACGCGGGGCTCACCACCGGAGGGGAAAGTGCTGAAGGGAGCCATCCCACAGAACCCGGGGGAGTCGCCGCGATCCGCTATGATGCCAGAGCCTGCATCCACCCAACGAAGCGGGAGCGGAGCAGGAGACCAGAGATGCCGCCAGCCAGCCAGGAGAACCGCCGCCGGACGCCAGAAGACGGACGGGTGGATAGATTCCTCCACAGGGCTCCCAGCACGTCGTCGCATCTCTCAGCTGGTGGAGGACCGAGTGGCAGCGTGTCTGGAGAACCGAACCCCAATTTTTTTTCTTTTTCTTCTCTCCCCTTTCTCGGTCGACTCTGTCTTTCCTCCTTTTTTTCCTTCTCCTTTTTTCTCGGCCCGTCTCATATAGGTCTCGCGGGTGCTGTGGCGCCAAAACCCCACAACCCTGTTATTAATAAATCATTTTAAAACTGCGTCGGTTCTCCGCCTCCTCCTTCCCGGCGGCCAAAGGGCCGTGAACTTCATTACACCTAATTAAACACACCTGATGAATCTAATTGAGTTCTTCAGGCTTGTTTGAAACATACAGGTACGTGTTTTGGAGCAGGGTTGCAACTAAACTTTACCGGGCTACGGCCCTCCAGGAATTGAGCTTGACACCTCTGGCCTATACGTTTAGTCACGTTTTTAGATTTAATACATAATTCTTTCATGTTGTTTATTAGATGTTGTTTTTTGTGCCTGTAAATTGAGTCTTGTCTTATTTTTCTCTGTAGAGCTGATGGTGCTGAAAGAAGAGACTGAAGAACTGAATGGAATCGAAGAGAAAGGTCAGTTTGAGGAACACCAAGATTTAATGACTGATGATTGCAACCCACCCACAATGTGAATGCGCAATTAGAAAATGCTTCAAAGTAGTTTTGAAAATACTTGAAAAACAGACAAATCTACAAACCTAATAACACAACAACGCAAGCTTTAAAAGCTTTTGCGTTTACTCGCTTCATTCCTAACTCGTCACACTCACTTCACAATAAACGCAGATTCATGGGCAGGGCTTTTGTATGCCCTGTGACTCTTTGATGCTAAAATGGCTAACATGGAGTTTGCTGAGAGAGTAGCTGTGCTTTGTGCTTTAGGAAGGCTCATAAACAGTGTAGATTCGTTCGGCGCCTTGTCTTGTTCATCAGCTCCTCCAGAAACCATACCTGGGTGATTGAAGCTTTCAGCGGTGCTTCAGATTGAGACAAGCCCAGTTTGATGAGCTGTAGTCTGGTGTTGGCATGAAGATTTCCCTTCGGGACATCAACAACTGGTGCTACGTCGTAATCACACCCCTACAAGAGCAAGCTCTTTACGCCCCATACACACGAGGCTTCAGCGTCAACGATTGACAGAGGGCATGTCTGAAATTGGAGCTGACGTTGTCATCATAGCAGCATCAGCCAATAAAATTAGTCAGCAATAGGCTACTGTCTGAGCTGGTGTATTTGCATACAACGATCTGATTGGCTGACGCTTCCGTTGGCGCTTGAAAAGTTAGTTCCAACTTCTGCAGCGAGGAATGCCTCTGAAGCGCAGCCGACGGATCCACAATGCAGTTCGGGAAACGCCTGACGTCACCCATTCAAAGTGAATGGGAAGCGTTGAAGCTGATGCCCTGTGTGAATGGAGCATTGACGCAACATAATGTCCTCTTAAGGCTCGTACACACCAGGACGCTTTTTATTTTTGCGTTTTTCAGCGTTTTTTGAGACGTTTTTCTGGATTCAAAGCCAAGCGATTTTCACTGGCATTGAGCAGAAGTTTAAAAATTACCTCTTTACTCCTGCCGTTTTGAGCGTTGGTGTGCACGATCACATTGGCGCCCTTCATTTAGTCACGAGTTGTTAAACGTTGACAGAAAACATGAGCAAAAAGCGTCCCAGTGTGCACAAGCCTTAAAGTTCAGATTTTGCAACTTGAGGGATTCACGCGCAAACCACTCGATCCGCACCACCTCATTCGCGCACATAGCACTGCAGGATATCTATTTACATCTTTGCATTGATTCAACATGCAAATCGTTTGCGCTTGACTCTTCATCCACATCTGGGTTGAACACACCATAATTCAATTCAATTCAATTCAGCTTTATTTGTATATCGCTTTTACAATGTAGATTGTGTCAAAGCAGCTTCACATAAATGGTCATAGTAACTGGAACAGTGTGGTTCAGGTTTTAGTGTTTAAGCTCAGTTCAGTTCAGTTTAGCTCAGTTCAGTGTGATTTAATCATTACTGAGAGTTCAAACACTGAAGAAAGCTGTGGTCGCCTTGCACTTTTCTCCCCATAGACTTCCTTTCATACGCACACAAATGCACCAGACCGAAAATACAAGGTCGTGCGACAAGTTTTGCAGTACGCTGCGGTGCAAAGTTCAAGCTTTGTGAACTCTGACCTTCGAAATCGCATCACTTGAATGCGTGAGACCAATGGAAGGTCAAAACATGACCTCTCTGGACAGAAATCTTAAATATGGACCAATCGTTTGCTTTTTTAAAGGTCTAATCATCTTGTTCAATCCCGCCCCTTTTCGCAAGCTCAAACTCTAGTGCAGGGGTCACCAATCTTGATCCTGGAGGGCCGGTGTCCCTGCATGGTTTAGCTCCAACTTGCCTCAACACACCTGTCTGGGTGTTTTAAGTATACCTAGTAAGACTCTGGCTGTTTCTCAATTCCAAGAACGCAGAGAACGGACTTGCGTCCTTGTGGAGACCGGTCTTGCCAGGTGTCCTCGGAAGAACGAACTCAGGAGACCGCGAGGGCAGAGAATGCGTCCTTTGAGAAATGGGATGCTGCGTTCTTCCTGATGGTCATGTGACCTTCACGTGTTTTAAATGGAAATTATTTAAACATTAAAGCACACATACAACGATTTATTGTTTCCCCCTTCTTCAAAATATATACTTTGCATAAAAACATTATAAATATACTCTGCACAATATAAATAAAACAAATTTTAATACGAATTTCAACAAACAAACAATCCTTAATGCATTTATTCCTTTATTAAGATATTCATGTTAATGTTTACTTTCACCGTTATATTTAGGGAAACTCCTGAGGTAAATAAGTGATATCTCTGAACTTTAATAATAAATCTAAATAAAATGCTGCGCTTCCCACCTCCAGTCGCAATGACGTCTGGGACTTCCAGAGCGAGTTCGGTGCTCAAGTCTGCATTGGTGCGTCCTCGATATCAAGAACACATCCGGGAAGTTTCACGCGTCCTCCGTACTTGCGGTCTTGAGTATTGGACCTGAACTTAGGCAGCTGATGATGACGTTACACGAGAACGCAAGACTGCTGAAGAACGCATATTGAGAAACAGCCCTTGATTAGCTTGTTCAGGTGTGTTTGATTAGGGTTGGAGCTAAAATCTGCAGGACACCGGACCTCCAAGAACAAGTTTGGTGACCACTGCTCTAGTGTGACCACAGCTTAAGTCCTTGATTAGTTTGCTCAGGTGTGTTTGATTAGGGATGGCACTAAACTCTGAAAGACACCACCACTGTCCCAGGAACAGGTTTGGTGACCCCTGTTGTACAATAAAACCTGAAAGTACCTTGTGTTTATGCTATCCACAAACTTTAAGCACTTTAACTTAAATCCCACTTAAATAATCCATTGACCTTGGAATGATGAAATCTTAAAATGCTAACTTGCCTCCACTCTAGTCCATGAAAAACAAAACCAAGTTCATGCATGATTCCACACATGGTAGATGGCTTCTGCGAGAGGGAAACAGATCTGCTTGTGAGGAAGCTCCGCAAGCTCTTTTATAAAACTGTGGATCACATCACTTCTGCTACCTCAGTTTTCTCTGATAAAGTTGTAAATATTGCAGGGAAAAACTGTGCTGGTCTGTCCAGTTATTGGACCCACCACTTTCCGCAACTTAGTACTTATAAGATCTTACATGTTGTTGTTGTTGTTTATTTTGCTTTTCTCATGTTCCTTTGTGCTTTAAATGTGAGTTAACCTGTTTTATATTTCTCTTTAGAGCCGATGGTGCTGAAAGAAGAGACTCAAGAATTTAATGAAATGGAAGAGAAAGATCAGTTTGAGAAAAACCAAGACTTAATGACTGCTGAAATGTCCACCATGACAAAAAAGACTTCACCTCGGAAAAGAGACCAGGAAATCAAACCTGTTGGTAACTTCACCTGCAGTCAATGTGGAAAAAGTTTTACTCAAAAATACAAGCTTAGAGTTCACATTCGAGTTCACACTGGAGAGAAGCCTTACTCGTGTGAACAGTGTGGAAAGAGATTCATTGAAAAATCAAAACTTGCATCCCACATGAGCACTCATACCGATGTCAGGCCTCACTCATGTCCCGAGTGCGGAAAAGGTTTCAAACAAAAGCAAAATCTTGCAATTCACATGAGAACTCACACTGGAGAGAAGCCTTTCTCATGTGATCAGTGTGACATGAGTTTCAGTCAAGCACATTACCTTAAAGCTCACATGAACGTTCACTCCAACGAGAAACCTTACGCCTGCCAACAGTGTGGAAAGAGATTCAGGCAAATTAAAATCCTCCGAAATCACATCAAACTTCACACTGGAGAGAAGCCTTGTGCCTGCCCTCAGTGTGGAATGAGATTCATTCATAAACAAAGGATTGAAACGCACATGAAGGTTCACAATAAAGCCATAGAGGCGATAAAGCCTTTCCTTTGCCAGCAATGTGGAAAAGGTTTTGTTCAAAAGGGTACCCTTAAAATCCACATGAGAGTTCACACTGGAGAGAAACCTTACACTTGCTCACAATGCGGGAAGAGTTTTACACAGAAAAGCAACCTTAAATACCACATGGTAACTCACACTGGAGAGAAACCTTTCCCTTGCCAACAGTGCGGAAATAGTTTCAGTCAAAAGAAATGCCTTGAAATCCACCTGAGACTTCACAATGGAGAGAAACCTTACACTTGCTCTCAATGTGGAAAGAGTTTTACTCAGAAAGGCAACCTTAATTCTCACATGAGGACTCACGCTGAAAAGAAACCTTTCCTCTGCCAACAGTGTGGAAAGGGTTTCAGTCAAAAGAAATGCCTTGAAATCCACATGAGAGTTCACACTGGAGAGAGACCGTACATTTGCTGTCAATGCGGAAGGAGTTTTTCACAGAAAGGCAACCTTGATTCTCACATGAGGACTCACGCTGGAGAGAAGCCGTTTATATTTGGTCAGTAGAGTTCTGCATCGAGTACTGGTTCCATTTCAGACATGCATGGCAAATGGCAGTTGTCATTTTACAGCTGTATCTATCTGCCAGGACCTTTGTAAGGTTAGGTTTGCCCCCAAAATATGACACTCAAGTGATGATTACCCTCAGGGCCGTGCAGATACCTTTCAAGGGGAGATCGATCGCGAAGGGAAGAGCGGGGGGAAGAGTGCGAAGTTTACATGTTCTTCCTGTGCTCGCATGAGTCTCCCCCAGGTTTCCTCCCACAGTCCAAAGACATACGCCAATTGGTACTCTTTTTGCAGTGGAAACGCAAACCTGATAAAAGTGACCCGTACCAATCCGTACCCTACTGTACCACTTAGTGGAAATGGGCCATTAAGAAAATGGCAGCCTACTTTAAGAATCAATGGCTGTGTTCAAAACTGCCTACTACTCAGTAGGTACAGTATTTGAATTTAAACGTACTACTCGTTCGTTAGAAAAGTACGTTCTATGCAGTATACAGTACATCCGCTATTTTGTCATGGTCACGGGACCCACTTGCGTCAGTTGTGTCGCTTTACTCCCATTCATGAATTTGCTCGTGGGGCATCATGGGATAGTGCAGCGTGCATGGGATGCGCACTCCAGAATCTCGCCGGAAGTAGTAAGTCATCCGGGTTCTTCTCGCATACTGATTTTCGAATTCTATGAATTCGGACATACTACTCGGCTCGCATACTGATTTTAGCGTACTATATAGTATGGAAGTATGCGGTTTCGGGCGCAGCCAATGTCTTTGTTGCACAACAGTGCATATGTTACAGTACAGTTTCTCTATACAGTATGCAAGTTTGTTTCATTCTACTGTCTGTATATTTAAACGTGAAACTTAATAAACAACTTTGCCTGCTTTAGGGCGTTGATAATATTTCTTTTTATCAATGATGATAAACAACTTTAATAAAGTCAGATGAATAATTGATTTAAACATGCCATCCTATAACTGCTTTCTGTTTTTAAATGATTAATCAATTGTTATTAGACAATTCCTTATATATAAAAAAGCTTCACCACTGAAATCCTGTCAATGACAGAATGTTTATTTTGACTTTTCATTGTGCGTTTTCTCTTTTAGAGGAGGTTGATGGGGACTAAAATAATGTTTTCTGTTTCCACTAAATTCTAGCAGTTTTAATAAAGGTAACCTGAGAAGTAAACATGCAAATGTAAAGGTTGCTTTTAAAGTATTTAACAGTTTTTTTGTTTTGTATTGAAGACAAAATTAATGGTCATTTTATGTAATACACTTTCTATTTGTTTTTTCATTTTCCTTCATATTCTTGTGAGAAATTGAGTATGATGCATTTACTGTGGTAGCTTTTAACTTGAACAGTTAATAAATTAAATAGTTAAAATAATAAAATACGTTTCTAAGCAACCACGAATTAATTTTAAATTTTGTAATATCTTTTTATCCTTTTAGAAATGTTGATTTTGATATTATTCAATATAATAAGACTTTTATTTTGGTGTGAGCATGTGAGGCGATAAGACTGCGACATACTTCTGTCTGTGGTCCAACAAAAGGTTGGTGCTTTAAGGATTTTAAGGTTTAATAAAAACAATATATTCGTTAGCTACTTTTTGTTTCCAGTCGATGCTATAAAACAATGACTTGACAGAAAATGTAACGCAACAATTTACATACTTGATAACGGAAAAGCTGCGTCTGATTTCTCCGTAAATCTGTTAGTAAACATGAGTTCAGGCACGGGCGAGTAGACTCCGAGTCATTTGAATCAACTTTGTCGTCTAAATGAATCACTTTTGAGTCGCATCACCGCCCGCTGACGCAGTGTTGACAAATTAGCAATTTTGTTGCTAGATTTAGCAACTTTACTACTCTAGCAACTTTTTTTTTTCAATAAGCACCTAGCAACAAATTTAGCCATTTTTACCCTTCATTTGGCTACTTTTAGCAATGTTTAACATTAGTCTGGCTACTTTTAGCAATGTTTAACATTTGTTTGGCTACTTTTAGCAATTGTTAGCCTTTATTTGGCTGCTTTTAGCAATTTTAACCTTCATTTGGCTACTTTTAGCAATTTTTAACATTCATTTAAAATGTTAATTCACAACTGATGTGGAGAGACAAGTTTTACTGACTAAATGTTAATGTTTGTTCGAGGAAAAACAATGTACAGATCCTATATAGAAATTATATAGCTAATATTGAGTGTATAACTATATTTTGTAATATTTCATACCTTTGTAAAACTTGTTTTGAGTATTTTTATCTACTCGGATGATTTAAAGTCATTGTTTGAGTGTGGATTTCTTTTATTTCTGTTCATTGTTCTCATTTTAAACAGGACGAAGTGTCCAAACACTTGCTGAAGCAAAGATGGCGTTTATTAAAGAGGAGAGTGAAGACCTGAAAATTGAAGACACATTCACGATCAAACATGAAGATTCTGAGGAACAAACAGGTTAATTTCCTTTCACGAAGATCACTCATTTCATTAAATGTCTGCTTTTACAGCATGCCATATGGTAAATCCTGAATGCTTTTAGATCTCCATCCATCAGCTCAGCAGTTCATTGCAGGTCTTCTGTTGGGGTTGACCTCACATTATTAGGAGCTTTTATTTTGTATGTGAAGGGAAATCTCCAAATCTCACAAAAGTGAGCTGTTTCACAAAATTTGCAGCAAATTTGGTTCATTTTTTTGCTGTTTAAAACACATAAATTGATACATCTTAATTAGGGCTGTAACGATACACCAAACCCACGATACGGTTCGTATCACGATTTTTTTAAAATTTTATTTATTTTTATTTTTTTGTGGGGTGGGGAACAAAAAGATTTTTAAAACTTTTTTTATTAAATAACATTTGAAAAATCTTTATAAACTAAATCAAAGAACAATATTACCTATGCAAATTATTATCAATATAAATAGCCATATATAAAATAAATAAATAGCCAAAGCTATATCACTTTTGTTTTCTTTGTAACAAAATACTGTTGAAAAATCAAACAGAACTAAACTCCATTGTGTATGTAGGGATAGTTTACAGTTAAACCCAAAGAATGCCCAGTCTGGTAGATGAAGAAGAGCCGGAGTCAGAGATTTAAATAAATAAATCAAGTTTACTGAAGATAGTTTGCAGTTTCATCCGCAGAAGCCAGCTTCAACACTCGCAATGAGTTCCTAGGCCGCTCTGCTTACAATCACCAATCAATAACAATTATACTCTCACATAACGTCATTAACTGCGTCACACATACAGGTGTTCTAACCTGATTGGTTAAAACACAGATAAAGTAGGAACATTTCCACGTGAGGTTCGTGCGTACAATTTTGAACAATATCTAAACATAAACGTCAGGCACCCTTTAGACTGATTAAAGCTGACTCCAGACCTGTGAAACGGATCAACAATCAAATAGAACACACACACTTTAGGTATAATCTGTTTCTTATCCAAGGCTGAGTGTACCGTCAGCCGTCTTTATCAAAACTGGTTAAAAACTGGTATAATCTACATTCAGGCAGTTATATTCTTACTACACAAAGTCTATCTTGAATAAAAAGTAGAATCACTTTAAAAGATTTAACCGTAAAACTATAGCAAAATCACTTTGGACATTTTAGACAGTATTAACTCCTATTTTTTAGTATTAACAGTTGTTTCCAGTCCTCAGTTCCACTCAAGATCTCCATGACCTCTGACCTAGTTTGCTGGCTCCTGAAAATAGGTATAAAGAGACAGGCAAATGCACTGAACATTCTTATATTAAGCAATGTGTTAACTTATTCATTAATTAAAATCAATTCACAGTTAAATACTGAGAAACAGGATGATGAAAAGGATAAACGTTGGTCCATGATGAGATGGACTAGAAAGCAGAAATCCGAATCCTTCATGTAGATGGTTCAAGCATGTTGAAAATTCTTTTTCAATCAAGTTCTCTTACATAGAAAAAGCAAATTAAATGGCTACTAGGGATGCTCATTTCGTTAATTTTGCTAACAGACAACCGCCGCTCATTAATCGGTTATTAACGGTTAACTGGTCAGATTACTAGGCTATTAATTATATATTAAACAAATTGACGTGTCTATTTTGTGTCTGACACATTAAATATTGCATTTTAAAATACTGATTTATTTTTATATGTTAGCATATTAATAGTAGAACAATACAACAGAGCATCTTCACGCACATGCAGTGTTTAGCACAGAAGAGTAGAATAATCTAAATAAAATGAATAAAATAAATAGGACTGCCCTAAATTATTTTCATTTAAATAATTAATTTATATTACAAAACGAAAATACTGACTGATTCTTTTTAATAACCGGCATAGGCTTTTTTTACCAATCATGTTTTTACTTCCGTCAAATAAATATCGCAGACTTCCTCAAATTGCCCGCTTCACGGAAAATATGCATTCATTTAATCCCCAGCTGTTATTATTATAATCACAAAACCTTTTACATTTTAATAGAAATCATTATTTTAAAGATTATGTCCTGATATAGCCTATGGTTTCCTCTCTCTCCCTCGTGGTTCAAGTGCGCGCGCTGCCTGATGAAAAGACAACAACACGCGCACATATGTAGACTTTTTGTAAACAGTTTTGTTGTTAAAATATGATATTGCATTAATGTGCATACATGCTTTATAAGCTGTAAAATAAAAGGTAAAGCCTATTTGTTGCGTTTATTACACAGATCCAGGTCAACATAAGCGCTGCAGCATCAACACGTCTGTATTAAACAGCAATATTCTTCTTCCATTTTTCTTCTTTAGCAAATGTGTCTGTAGTCACGGGTTACACGTTATCGTCCCGCAAAATAAGTATGCCTTGCAGTTAAACAAGGGGCCGAATACAAGGCGCACCTTACTGCCTTTATGTTGACAAGGAGAAAAAAAAAGAGGCGCGGTCCTCTCATGAAACGACTGAATCAGCTGGGTATCGATTGTGCAAAAGTGTTGCTGTCTGTGTTGTTGTAATTGTAATATTTAATACTATTGTGGTATTCATGATTTGTACATTCATCCAGCTCTGGATAACTTAAAACAGCGATTAGACCTTCAGAGCGGCATTAATGCGTCCTGAAGTAAAGCGAAACGGCTATAAAGTCCAGCAAGATAGAGTGATTATATGCAGAGCCATATACCTTTATCTCTAAATAAAGTATAGCTATAGAAACTGTGTTCATCTTAACTAAAAGCTTCGTCGTGTTTTCTGACCTCACGCATCGCGCACCTGTCAGTCAGCACTCCCAAAGGTTCAAACAGAAAGCGCACAGCACGGTTACAGAAAAGTTTGCTGTTACCTGACATCTGGTGAACGCCCATCCCTCTCTGCGCAGCCACATTAACAGTGTGAGCAAATCAACGTATATGCGCTGAAAATCCAGCCGCTTTGACAGCATTGGGAATGTTTCTGTCGTTGTCGGTTGTCAAGCGGGGTTAAGTTGGTTTTGTTTTTAATATTCCTGACACATTCAGACGGTCCCTTACTAAGAGCTCCGTGCGAGCTCTCCCGGCTAAATATTGCGAGGGCTTAAACGGTGCAGTGCTCGTATGTCGAACGAAAAAAAAGTGATAATTAGCTCAACTTTTGCAGTCACGTGGTGTGTCGCGATTCTCCCTTATCACACCGCGACACAGGATCGTAGATCTGAGTGTCGCGATTTCGATTTCATATCGTGCATCGTTACAGCCCTAATCTTAATTAGGGGTGTTCGGTTCCGGGGTTTTTTTGTAGTCCACTCCGATTCTCGATGTAATAGACTCCGCAACCGACTCCATGTACGTTCACTTAAAATAGCGCAAGGATTAAACATGTTGTATCATATCGTGCTTTATACAATGCTACTGCGCCAATTGCAGC